CCACAGCTCCTTAGTTGCGGCATGCTCACTCTTAGTTGTGGCATGCGTGTGGGATCTAGCTCCCTGACCAGGGGTTGAACCCCGGCCCCCTGCACTGGGAGCACAGAGTCTTATCCACTGCGCCACCTGGGAAGTCCCTCTGTTGCTTTTAAAACGCTTATTAGTAACAATATCTAACACTTAAAACTGTGAGGTCCTAACCCCAGAATGATTAATTAAATCTGTGTTAAATTTTTTTCCTTTTCTTTTTTTCTTTTTGCCACACTGCCCGGCTTGCAGCGTGCAGAGAGATCTTAGTTACCTGACCAGGGATTTAACCCAGGCCACAGCAGTGAAAGTGCCAAGTCCTAACCAATGGACCACTAGGAAATTCCCTCTTTTGTCTTTTTAAGTGATTCCATCCAGTAACCTCTATACGCTTGCAGAACTAGCATTGACTGAAGTTATCTCAGGCTGCATCCTCCCAAGCAATACTTTGATTCAAAACAAAATATCATATATAAAAAAAATCAGACATTGTGGACTATAATAGGAGACTTTGTAAGAACACAAAATATAAGGCAACTTCCTTTCTGAGGAATTATTTTGAGAGGAAAAACAGTACCTTATATTCAGGTATATAAGGTATTTATTAATTTAATAAATATTTAATGAGCACTGCTTGTGTGCTAGGCACTGTGCTAGGAACTGGAAATACAGTGAGCTTAGAATCTCACAGGGAAGACAGTCATTAAATGTATAATGCCACAGTTAATTAATTATGGTCACTTAAGTACTATGAGGGATAAGTTTAGATAGCTACAAGATGAATAACTGGGGAACCTAGGTCTGTGGGGTTAAGAGTCTCCTATACCATGCTGTTTATGTACAGTGCAGCAGTAATTCATGTGCCCAGTCAGTCTGGGTTTAAATCTTGACTCAAACCTTAAGTAGGTTATTTAACCTCATTTTCCTCATTTATAAAGTGGAACTAACAATAGTATCTACCTTATGAAGTTATAGTGATGATTAAATGAGTTAATACACTGAGAACAATGATGGCACTCAGTACCTGCTCAATTAATGTTAGCTATTGTTGCCATTTCAGCTGAAACCTGAAAGACAAGCCAAGAGGAAGGGAAGAAGGAAGAAACTCTAAGCAGAGCAACATGTGCAAAAGTCCAGAGGCATAAGGTTGCCTGGCCTATTCTAGAACTGAAAGGCCAATGTTTCTTAGCATAAAAAGCTACGGGGGATTCACTTTGTTATAAAGCAGAAACTAACACACCATTGTAAAGCAATTATACTCCAATAAAGATATTTAAAAAAAAAAGAAAGCTAAGGGGAAAGAGGTACCATGAGATGTGAGGCGAGGCTGGGAAGGTAGGCTGAGATCAATTATGCAAGGCCTTGTAGACCAGGATAAGGAGTCCGAACTTTATCCTCCAAGTCAGAGGAAAGTTGAAAGGTTTTACAAAAGGGAGTAACAAGCTTAGATTTGCAACTTCAAAGGCGGTCTCTGGCTACAGCATAGAGAACTGGTTGGAGGGAGGCCAAAACAGATGAAAGGAAAACCAGTAAGGAGCCTACTCTGGTAATCTAGATTAGAGGCTTGTCGCTTAGACTAGGGAAGTGGCACAGAAGAGAGAAGGAAGCTGGATGACTGAAGAAACAGAAGACAGAACCAACAAGGCTTAGTGTATGTATGGTAGGGTGAGAGGGCATGGAGGGAGAGGCCCTGAACAGTATATCAATATTTGAGGAAGAAATGAATGAATTTCTGTGTTCCTGCCATACTGTTTTACCACATGAAAGGTCTTCCTTCTGCTCCATCCTTCCAGGCAAAATTCCTTCTCATTTCCTCCACAAAACTGTCTGAATGATCTTAGCCCCTTCTTTCTGGGAGTGTTCTAGAATTTTGGAACTGAACTTCTTTTTGGCCTTAAGAAGCGGCATGTGGAACTTCCATGAAGAGGGATTGAACCCGTGCCCCCTGCATTGGAAGTGCGGAGTCTTAACCACTGGACCACCAGGGAAGTCTTAGAACTGAACATTCTTGAGAAATACATTGAGGGCTGTTGAGAGAACTTAGAAATTGTCTGAAGGTGGAGATGATGTTTTAGTCAACTTTCTATCCCACCCACTCCCATATACCTAACACTTGTAGAAATCCACCCATTTATAGAACTTTTCCTCTGAATACATGAGTGGTTCAAGCATAAACAGCCTATGTTAACATAAAGCTCTGTGACCCATAAAGCACCATACAGATGTGGGAGCTTTCACAACCATTTTCTTCTCGGGTCTTCACAGAACTCTTATAAAATAGGTACTACTGTAGAGGAAATAAGCTCATAACTAAAGTGACACGTCCAGGGCTTCCCTGGTGCTACAGCAGTTTAAAAGCCGCCTGCCAAGGAAAGGAATAAAGACACAGACGTAGAGAATGGACTTGAGGACACAGGGAGGCGGAAGGGTAAGCTGGGACGAAGTGAGAGAGTGGCTCAGAACTCAGAAATACTTCCAATTCAGTGTCTATTCTCCAAATTGAGGCAGGACTATGCCCCATTTTAGCAGGAAGTGGCCAGAGCCATCGTCGCCCAGTTTCCTGAATTAAAACTGAACAGGACTTTGAGGGGCTCAAGAATACAAATCCTTTCTGTGTCCCGTTTCTTGTTTATAGGATACAGACTTCATTCAACCTCCTTGACCTTCCCGGAATTCCCAAGGGCAGATTCAAACAGTTGCTCATCAGGAAAGGGAGGGGATGCAAAAACAGGGGAGAAACAGTCAAATGGTGGTTCAGCCTTGGGCAGGCACCTGGTTCCTCCTCAAGGAGTATGCATAACTGTATCTTTGAGTTCTTCTGCAGAACCGGGACCCCACCCAGGTGGAGGATGGTAACTTCAGGCTGAGTGCAAGATTCCTAGAGCACCGTCCTGTTACCTCACCTCCAACCAATGAGAAGAACCCTGTAGCCCTCACCCCAAATTTTGCCTTCCTTTTCTGGGCCCAGCGATGACCATCCTGTTAGGCCTCCTGTTTGGCCCATCTGTTTCAACTGTTTACAAGGTTCATCTCCAACAGGGTCCAACAGTTTCAGGCTAAATTTAGCTAAATTTGTTACTACAGGGTGAACGCTGGTTTCCAGCACAGAATTTAGATCAGTTTAGATCAGGTGGTGAGGCACTTCTACTCTACTAGGCAGGCCTACGCCCACCCTCAGCAGAAAGTAGTTACAGAAGAAAGAGACCTCCGCCCCAATTCCCAAGAAGTATCTTGACTATGAAGTCTCTCAGGGGGTAGTTGTTAGGGGAACCACTGACTGAAACCACCCTCCCTGGCTGGGCAAGATAGTAACCACATGCATGAGTTATCTTACAACAGGAGGTCCTGGTAAGGAACGTGGAACTCATGAGCTAGAATTCAGGAAAGGTCAAAAGGAGAGAGGAGACGCCAGTCCATATGTCTTACCAACCTCCCAGAATCCTTCTCGCTGGAACCCAGCTTGGATGAGCAATGCCTGCACCACAGGGAAGGATCCTGAGTCAGAGTGATTGGCCAGAGACAACCAGAAACTAACCCCATCACCATAAAACCTGAGACTATGAGCCACCACGTGGCAGAGCAGTCCTCTTGGGTTCCCTGACCCTGCTGCTCTCCACCGGGGTGCTCCTTCCCAATAAAGTCGCTTGCTTTGTCGGCACGGTGTGTCTCCTTGGACAATTCATTTCCGAGTGTTAGACAAGAGCCCACTCTCCCCCTTCTTGCAATACCACTTCTGGGACACCTTCCCTGTTTCAGGTATTAATTAATGTAGTCAAACATGTTTATTGGGCTTCCCTGGTGTCGCAGTGGTTGAGAGTCCGCCTGCCGATGCAGGGGACACGGGTTCGTGCCGTGCCCCGGTCCGGGAAGATCCCACATGCCGCGGAGAGGCTGGGCCCGTGAGCCGTGGCCGCTGAGCCTGCGCGTCCGGAGCCTGTGCTCCGCAACGGGAGAGGCCACAACAGTGAGAGGCCCGCG